TTAATTGTATGTTGTGTCTTAAGAATATTGAAAAACATAGAATCGAAAAATTGTCTGAAATAAAGTATAATTGTGCTTAACATGTTTATTTAATTCCTATTTAAACAATAAAATTACTATTTATTGAATTTAAATTGCCCAATAAAATAATAGATATTTAAGATATTCAAATTTAAATCTATATACGACAATCAATCAGCATTCAACTCAATTTCTACTTTTTTTTAAGTTTGATGTTATATTTTTAAAAAAGTTTTTCACAAAAAATGTTACTCATACGCAGTGTATGGCTAACTTTTGTTTTATCTACTAAACTATTTTATAACTAAATTTTAAATGATAAATGCTTGCTAACGATGCATCTTTATACGTTTAAATTTTCTTCGGAGAACTTTTCAGTAACAAATTGAATTAAATAAAATTGTGGTAAAGCATAGTTTCTGTAGGAATATTTGTTGCATGAATAAATCTAAAGCATTTTCTATATAATCCGCATGTTAAAAACTAAATAGTAGAAATAAAAACTCACTTCTGTATATCTTCACAAAGACAAGAGAATGATGCTTCTGAATGTTAAGCTTTATTTGTTAAATATTTTAGTAGATAGAAAACAATTACCAAGAATCTTTATTTGATTCGGACATTAAAGCGTAAGAACTTTTCAAATAAAATAACTTGGCATTTAAATGCTTGTATTTAGCATATAATTTGAATGAAAAAAATCTCATATATTATATGTTAAATAGTTCTATAATTATAATTTTTCTGATTTTTAAATAGTGGGGCGAACAACGCGGTTGCACACGTGAGGAAATGATATCCTTTTATGATTCGGAAGGTAATGTACCACTGCACTCTGCAGTGCATGGAGGTGATATCAAAGCTGTGGAGTTATGTCTCAAATCAGGAGCTAAAATATCGACACAACAACACGATCTTTCTACGCCAGTGCACTTGGCGTGTGCTCAGGTAAGTGTTATATATTTAATAGGATAGCTTGTAAATATATTTAGATACCTCCTGCTCAAAAAGTACTCGGATTTTGTAAATAAAACACAAATTTAAATTTTATTCCAAATTTATTTTATCTCCTTCAAAATATGATCCTTCTGAAGCGATACACATATGCCAAAGTCGCACGGATTCAGATCTGGTGAATATGGTCCCTGAGCGATGACAGTGGTGCCGTGTTTGGTCAAAAAATCGCGTACAACAAGAATTTTCCATAGTTAAAATCGCTAAATGCACTTGAGTTAGTCTCACATTAACAGCTGCTGTAAGCAAACTAATTAACAGATGGCGCTCAAATTTGTACCATATGTCAAGAAAGGGTGTACCAACATAACAAAATTTTTGAAAAAGATCTATTACTTAAGGAGTAGTTAACAAACAACAAAATCCGGATACTTTTTGAGCAAAAGGTACATATAGATTAAAAAGTACGTAGGCAGATAAAGTAAAAATTCTTATGTTTTTGTCGTTATACCTACACGTATTTGGAAAATTACTTGAAAATGTTGCTTTAAAATTATTATAGCAAAATGTATCTATAAATCAGACTCCGTATATTTACAAATATTGACAGTTGCTGGAAAAAAAGGAAAATTTTTACGCATACCACACATTACTTCAGTGAGTTCCAATGGTAATTCAGACAATGACGCGAATATTTGCAGCATGTTTGGCATTTTTACGTAGAAATTGACTGCTCGTTTAAATCAAAGAAGAAGTCTTTGCAGTTCTGAAACTGGAAATATTTAAATTAATTCAATTTCATTCAACATATTTTATTAAAATTGGAAAATATGTATCACATTTTATCGTACGAAGGTTGTTCAATTGTACTTCGTTTGTTTCAATAGTGAAACTATAAGTATTGAACTATTTTCAGAAATATTCTGAATAAGAGTTTTGTTTAAACATCAAAGTCAATAGAAATTCTTTAAATAAAATTAGTATAAGAGTTTTGTTTAAACAGAATTTCCTTTAACAGAATCAGTGACGTACGATACGTGACAAAATCCTACAAGAAGTAGTAATGAAAGTATCTTTGGATATTCAAAACAGCATTACCTTTTAAAGGAAATTTGATATAATATAATTTTTTGCAATTTCTAAAGTTCTAAAAACTCAGTTCTCTAAATTATATTTCATAAAAAATAAAAAAAAAAAAGAATCAACGACAAGGTTTCAGTATAATTTATGTTTAAGGTTTAAGGACAAAAAATATCTTGAACGAAAATTGATATGCCTGCAGATGTTAAGGTTAACAACCGTAGTTGTCCTTTAGAAAAAATATTGCTTTTCTGTATTAATTAATTTAATTATATATATTTAATTTTTTTATATTAAATAGTCTTTTACCTTCTATCAAAGAACGTCATTGCATAAATTTTAAGTAAAAAATGTTAATGGCGAATGGACTTTAATGCTAAAAGACTGAAATAATTGAAAATAAATAAAGATACATGTTTAATAATTCTGATAGCAGTTAATTTGAAATATATTATAACTAAATTAATTCGTATCGCTTTTTATACAAAACGATGACTCTTAGTCAGATATATACTTCAGAGGGTTCACTCATTTATATTATACACTAATGGTTTCGCAATCTTCTTCGGTACTAAGTTTGGTACGTAGTACAAAGATAATCTTCTTGGTTCCATTAACTACCAGTAGAGCAGAGGGACTCAACAATTCCTCGGAATCGTATTCTGTCGTTCCATGAGTAGCGCGCTGATGTTAGTTCGGCAACAATTGTCCTTCGCCATGTTCTTGAAGGAGCGCCAGACCGGCGACTGCCGTGCGGGTTCCACTTTAGGATTTGCTTAACGATGCAGGAATTCAATTTGCGTAACGTATGTCCGATCCATTGCTAATTCGTTTTTTGATTTCGTTCTCGACACTTTGTATGTTCGCTGTTTTCCACAATTCCACGTTAGAGGTGCGTTCTGGCCACCATATTTTAAAGATGCGTCTTAAACATTTGCTTATGAAAACTTAGGTTCGCGAATTAATGGATTTATTAAACATTCATACAAAGATAATACCAACGAATTGTTTTTAAACCAGGAAGTAGTTAACTACAATAGCTTGCTGTATTACTAAAAAGTAATGACAAAAAAAGTACATCTGCATCTGCAATAACATTCGAGTATCACTTAAAGTACTTGTTAATCCCTCATATTCTGTAATTGAGGATATAAATGCATCTATTATAGAATAACAATCACTTTAAAGTGATTAAAAGTTTATGTTAACCCCTCAAGTTTTTCAAGGATGATCAGTGTTCGATAAAGAATACAGGGCATGACAAGGGCTCCTGGTCAAATTTTGCACAAATTTTTCAACAAATAACTGAGCGATTATGTCACCAGATGGCAATTGTGCCAAATTTGCACCTTCGGATAAATGTTCCAATAGTATATATTCTCACACTTTTTTCTAATGAAATACAAGAACTTATGCTTTGTATAATTTATTATTTTGCACTAATACCTTAAGTAAAACCATTAATTAAATTGTATAATTTTATTTTACAGTGTGTAAGGACTACATGTTTTATAAAATTGCAGTCACACATACACAGAACTAATGATGTATGCGTTCAATCACAATATTTACCTATTTTTACACTCGAATATGTACTCGTATATTTCATATACACAATATTACGTGAATTTTGGAAAAGTTTCTCTTGGAATGTTTCACAACTGCAGTTTAACTAATGTGGTTCCTAGAAATTATAAACATTTTAATGCAAATATTTAAAGGATTGATTAGTTGCCAACAGCATCAGTTCTTGAACTTAATTTGCGTATTGTATCTAAATGTCAGTAAAAATAGAGGTAAAGGTCTATTAGCTGCAATTTTTAATTATTGCAATTATTTAAAATTTTATATTCAATAATATTAAAAATATAATACGAGTATCAAACGTACACTTTTAAAATACATTTTTAAAAACTTTATTACAAGGTTTTATTATAACTTTTTTTTTAATATATAATCTGGATTCAGTTTAGATTTTCTTTCGATCTGCCAAATTTTGTTGTCCAATTGACAATTTTTTTAGGTCGTACACACTTATGCTTAGTTTTCACTAAGTCAATTATAATTGACTGGTGTGTCAAATGCGTTGTCATTAAGAGAATGCGAATATGACATCATATGACTACCCGTTTTGATTATACTGACAATATTTGACATGGAAAATGACATAGTGAAAACAAGGCATTACAATTTTTACATCGAATCAATTCAGAGTTTATCTGTGAAATCATATAAAGAAGTTGTTTAATATCAGGGTAATCATGCTATTCTGGCAAAATATTTAGAGTGTTATAAATTAATCACCAGTGTTACATATTTTGCTCCAGATTTACTAATGGAAAATAAAATTGCATGAAAATTGCATTTAAATAGTATCTTGAAATTACCCATAATATTAATTTATACACACATAAATATTCATTTTAACAATTTATTCGTAGGGTGCAATTGAAATTGTCAAGTTAATGTTTACAATGCAACCGCTTGAAAAAAGAATCTGTCTTAGTTGCACAGACGTACAGAAAATGACACCTTTACACTGTGCATCCATGTTTGATCATCCCGATATCGTTGAGTATTTAATTAGAGAGGGTGCTGATATCAATGCACTGGACAAAGAGCATCGTTCACCTCTGCTTTTAGCTGCATCCAGATGTGGTTGGAAAACTGTACATGTACTTATACGTCTAGGAGCAAATATAAGCGAAAAGGATTCGAATGCACGAAATGTGCTACACTTTGTCATTATGAACGGTGGACGTTTACCAGATTTTGCTGAAGAAGTCAGTAAGACACAATCACATTCACAATTGGAACATTTGCTTAATGAAAAAGATAATACTGGTTGTTCACCATTGCATTATGCCAGTCGTGATGGACATATACGTTCACTTGAAAATCTTATCCGTTTGGGCGCTTGTATTAATCTCAAAAATAATAATAATGAAAGTCCACTACACTTTGCAGCACGTTACGGTCGTTACAATACAGTGAGACAATTGTTAGACTCCGAAAAAGGTTCCTTCATTATAAATGAAAGTGATGGTGTTGGCATGACACCTTTACACATTGCTTCACAGCAAGGACATACACGTGTAGTACAATTATTGCTAAATCGTGGTGCTTTACTACATCGGGATCATAATGGACGCAATCCATTGCAACTGGCCGCTATGTCTGGTTATACACAAACCATTGAATTATTGCATTCTGTGCATTCACATTTACTGGATCAGGTTGATAAGGATGGTGTAAGTTAAATTAAATTTATTTTATTTTATTGTATTTTATTTTAATATTTATTGTATAATTTATTATCAGAATACCGCATTGCATTTAGCTACAATGGAAAATAAGCCTCAGTCAATTTCTGTGTTGCTTTCAATGAACTGCAAATTGCTTTACAATTATATGGACATGAGCGCTATTGACTATGCAATCTACTACAAATATCCGGAGGCAGCTTTAGCTATGGTTACGCACGAAGAGCGCGCTAATGAGGTTATGATACTAAAGTCCGACAAGCATCCTTGTGTAACCTTAGCACTTATTGCATCTATGCCAAAAGTGTTTGAAGCCGTACAGGACAAATGCATTACTAAGGCTAATTGCAAAAAGGACTCCAAAAGTTTTTACGTAAGTTATCGTTAATATAATATTATTAAACATTTGTTAAAACGCAAACTTATTTGAATAAATATTAAAAACTAACAGAACAAATATTAGAAAATGAAATAAAAATATTGTATGTAAAAGTACATAAACCACTTTTAAGTGAATTTAATATTTGCACTGAGTTCTTGCACTTCAAAAAATATAAACTTGAAAAAATATCCATGATAAATTTTGTAATAAATTGACTGAAAATGCTTTGCAACCTTACTCATATTAAATCAATCTGAAGTGAAATAACCCTTGTTAAGCAAGAGTATCTTATTGATGACACGAAAGTTGAAAGTATGAAACTTAATATTAAAGAACAATGTTAAACTTATATACATTGTAAATTTATGTTTGTATAAAATGAAATCTTTAAATTTGAAATCGTATATAGTCTAAAGACCTAAACCATGTCTTATTTATATAATACGTAATTAAAAATCCTAATGATACCAATTTATCTTCAATTAAGTCATCTAATTAAATAACTCTAATTTTCCAAGTTATAGTAACATATATATCTCATTTCTCAAACACCCGATTTCAACCATAGTGCACCCGAATTCATAAAAAAAAACATACAAACTGCAATTGTAATAATCTTAAATTTATTCAGGATCTATTTTGCCCACATCGCCTATATTAAAGTTGTCTATTTTGCATCCTAAGTTGGAATTCATTTTCACTGACACAATATTTCAAGTATTATTACTTATTAATATGTACTAGTATTAGTACTTAACACCCATAAAGACAAAAGAAATTGTTGCCCCCAAAAGCTTTTCGTCAAGGGTTAAGTATAATACCTAAGGCGTAAGGATTATGAGTAATACAAATAAATGAAACAAGAAACAAAAAAGTCTAGAACTATATTGCTGTAAAAACTAGTTATTTATGTATAAAACCTGACTCTATGTTACCTAATAAAAGGTTACTTAGTAAAAATTGTCAATGTTATTGTTAATGTTTAATTGATTTATGGGTCAAGTATCTTTACAATTCTTACATCATTTTAGTAATAATAATAATAAAAGGTATTCGTGAAAATTGCCCAACAGCCGGTACTGCGGCCAGAAGAGACCTATTGTACCAGTTTCACTATTGATTAAACAAAGCCCCTTAAAGCTTTGTGAATAAAGTCTAGAACTAAATCTAGAGAAGAGTTCTTAATCTGTTCTGGTGACAGAAATTCCTTATGAAACAGGTTTCTTCTGTGCGTTATTAAAGCTGGACAGTCACAAAGAATGTGCATGGTTGTTTCCTCATCTTCGAGGCATAATCTGCATTCAGAGTTAGCAGATAATTGTAGTTTATGAAGGTGATATTTCAGACCATAATGACCTGTAATGAAACCCGTTATCATCCTTAAATTACATTTTGAGAATTTAAGAATGTTTTTGTAGGAGTAAGGTGTTATCAGTGCTTTGCTTTGTCTGAGTCCTGGAAAGTTTACCCAGTACTCTAGCCGCATATGATTTTCCATTTCCTTGATAATCTGTTTTGTACTAGCCCAGTTTATTCCACAAAAGGGTTGAGGGCCTATAAAAGCAGTTTTTGATGCATTTCTGGCAAGCTCATCAGCTTTTTCATTTCCCAAAACTCCTCTGTGGCCCGGAACCCAGTAAAGGTTTACCTTATTCCGAGCTGCAAGTGATTGCAGAAGATCGTAACACTCAAGGACCTGTTTTGATTTGAAAGTCCAAGAAGAAAGAGCTTTAAGAGCAGCCTGGCTGTCAGAGTAAATAACAATTTTCGAGCCAGAAGGTTTTTTGATTAAATTGGATCTTACACATAAGTTGATTGCGTGGATTTCAGCTTGGAAGACACTCGGCCATGTGCCCATTGCTTCCGAAATGCTGGTGTTGGGTCCAAATACACCAGCGCCAGTGCCTTCATCCATCTTTGATCCATCTGTGTACCAAACCAAACTTTTTGGGTCAACCTGTGGGCCTCCATTCTCCCACGTTGAACGTGATGGTAGGTGTACCTCAAATTTTTTGCCAAAACGATGGAGTTCTGTTGTATAGTCTCCATCGCATTGAGGAATTTTATGTGCTCCAAATATTTTTAATATTGTTGTATGACCATAGTCAAGACAACTCTTGTTCATGTGGAGTTTTAGTCGAAGCGCACTAAGCGCAGCCGTAGATTGAATGTGTATGTGCAGAGGTGTCAATCCAAGTATAGCCTCAAGTGCTGCAGTTGGACTTGTCCTCATAGCACCAGTCATTAAGAGACACGCTAATCTCTGGAGCTTCATGCAAACAGCAATAGACCCAGCCTGTGTGACCTTTTGCCACCAAACCAGGCAACCATATGTCATGATAGGACGTACTACTGCCTGATATATCCAAAATATAATCTTTGGGTTTAGGCCCCAAGTTTTACCTATACAGGACCGTATTGTCCATAAAGCCGTTAATGCTTTGTTATATACTTTATTTAAGTGTGAACTCCAAGTGAGTTTACCATCTAGGACAACACCTAGGTACTTTGTTTCACTGGAAAGAGAAATATTAGTGTTTCCTAAACGTACGGGACCTATGTCTAGTTTACGTTTGAGTGTGAAAGGCACAACAACAGTTTTCTCCGGATTTATGGAGAGACCCTCACTTTCGCACCACGCTAAAATGCGTCGAAGGTGCCCTACCAATATCTCTGATAGACTCCTACCATGCTTTCCAGATACTATTATAACTAGATCGTCTGCATACCCAATGGCGTCACAACCAATATTCTCCAACAAGATTAAAAGTTCATCAACAACCACTGACCAGAGCAAAGGAGACAGTACTCCACCCTGTGGGCAACCTTTTGCGGCCTCAACAGCTACAGACGTTCTACCTAAGGTTGATGTAATTTTTCTGCTTTGAAGCATCGCCTCAATCCAGGAAATAACATTAAAATCAACATTTCTGTTAGTTAAGGCATTCGAGATCGAGCCATAACTCGTATTGTCGAAAGCTCCTTCAATATCCAGAAATGCACAAAGCGCAATTTCTTTGTTTTTGTGGGCCTTTTCAATTCTACTGACCAAGTTATGTAAGGCCAATTCGGTAGATTTCCCTTTGGAATAAGCGAATTGAGTTTTGTGAAGAGGTTGACTTTTAGACAGTTCTGTACGAATATAGATATCTATGAGTCTTTCCATAGTTTTCAGGAGGAAGGATGAGAGACTAATCGGTCTATACGATTTAGCGTCATCACTTGGTCTATTACCATTTTTTGGTATAAATACCACTTTCACTTCTCTCCAAGCTTCAGGTATATGTTTCCAGCAAAGGCTAGCCCTAAAAAGCACCTTTAAAGGATTGATAAGAACGTCTATGCCGTTTTGTATAAGTGCCGGGAAGATACCATCACTTCCTGGTGACTTGAAAGGACTGAAAGAATTAACTGCCCATCTGATTTTATCAATGTCAAAAATGATACCAGATAGCGACATTAAACGATTGTCTGGTTGTTCATAACTTAACGTGCGCCTATCTATGGATGCATCACATAAGATCGATCCTGGAAAGTGCACATGTAGTAAATGTTGTAAAGTTTCCCTGCCATTTGCTGTGTAGAGACCATCATTCTTTTTCAATAGACCAATGTCATTTGAAAGAGACTTTCTCAACACTTTATGAAGGCGAGCCATTTGCGGAGTGTTGTCAACACCGTCACAGAAAGTTTTCCATGATTTCCGTTTAGATCTTCTAATCTCATTGTTGTAGGCAGTCAAGGATGTTTTATAGTCGACCCACACCCCTGATCGCTTTGCTAAATTAAAAAGCTTCCTAACCTCCCTGCGCATTTCTTCGAGCCTTTTGTTCCACCATGGCACATCCCGTCTGGATGTACGTGGTTCAACCTTACATGCATCTTCATGCGCCTGAGAGATAACAGAGTTTATTTGATCTGC